TCTATCCTACCTCTTCCTAGGTTAGTTTGTCTGGCTACAAACACCTCCCACTCAATCTTTCATTGGATCACAGGTATTCAGACCTGCTTGGGATCAGGCTTGATCTCCAGTGCTTAAAATGACAAAACCAGTGAGCTGACAGGGAAATTTCCAGCTCACTTTAAACAGCCCTTACACACCAACTGTCAAGTTTAGTTCAATACCTTCTGTTCAGCCTTAGCTATCCAAAATTGAATTTGATTTTATAATTTGGAATAACAGTACAACCTATAGCTAGAACTTTTCCTCTGACAGCTGTTTAACTATCATCTCCTTTTTTTAAAACAAAACCTACATTTAACTCTCTTCAGCCCTCAGGAGGGAAGACTCAGAATAGCACAACTAGCTCACACAGCAAATCCAGTCTGGTCTTGCATACCCACTTCATATCAACACACAGTCAGAAAGTCCCAGTACTAAGAGCAGAACACACCATCTACTGTCTATTCTGTGCTAAGTTTTTACAGCAAATAAGTTTTCCAAGGCAACTCAAAACAACTTGAAATTCTTTACACCCAGGTAAGATGCATGAGAGCTTGGAGCCAGAACCTTGAACTCACAGTAAAAAGCACTCAGTACTTTCCTGACACGGCTTTGTATTTTGTCTGACTGGGAGAAACACCAGACATCTTCCCAATTCAGCATCTTCCCAAAATGATGGTGCTAAGTGTGGTTTGATGGAGGACTGCCCAGTGTCCATAACAGGAACATGTACCACGAGTCCCAGCAAGTAGGCACCTTCACCTCAGAACTCCAGCCTGCCTTTGGGTGTTCCTGTGTGCCACTTCACACGTTCAGAGCAGGCAGGCAGGTGTGCAGGTCTCCACACAGCAGCACACACAAGTACAGCAGTTCTCTCACATCCCTTCTGGTACTGAATAACAAGAAGCATCATCTCATTACAAATGCAACTGCTGGCATAGCAGCAAGCAATGTCCTACACTGATGTGTGGAAAAAGGACAGAAAGCTGTGTTTGCCTCCACCTGCAGCCTCACAAATATCTAAGGACAGGCTATGAGTTTATCTTTCCTAACAAGTGTGAGCCCTACTGCTCCAATCCCTGCCCTAATCCTCCTTGCAAGAAGAGGTGACAGATCGCTTGTTTCAAGAGAGACTGAAAAACATCACAGTCCAAGACAGAGCCTGCCCATGCACAGCTGACAACACTCAATGGATAGCAGCCAAAAGCAGCAGCCTTATACCTTACTCCTGAAGAGTGGCTTGGCTCCCGGCCCACAATATTCGTTGTAGATGAGTTTGAACAGAAACAAGTGAAACAAAGTAATTAAGGAGGCCACACTGAACCAGAACAGGAAGGGTAAGCCTGGGTATTGCTTGGCCATGTGCTCCTCATGAGCCAGAATAGCTTTTAGGTGGAGTGTGTGTCTTAGGTCCTGCAAGTGGACCAGATCTGTTGATATATAAAGCAGTGGTGTGATGGGTTGAGTCACCATGACAGGGAAGGTGTGACCTCGTGCCTCTGAGGTCAGCTCCACGGGCTCGTTCATACAGCCTGCCTCACAGGCATACAGCCTGACAGGCTTGTCCTGGAATTTCACAGACACATGCAAGAAGGGCTTTCCTTCAGCATCCAGGAGAACAGCTAAATTGATCAAGTCCTTGTTGTAATGGATCCCACGTAAGGAATAGCTGTTATGAAGTACGTCAGGATCAGCCTGAAACTGAAGATGGTTTTCTGTGAACTGCAGACCCCCAAAACTAAGCACCATTCCCTGCATGAGCCCATGGACCCCAGCTGTCACAAGACCCTTGCATCCCCGTTTCTGGAGTGTCAGCTTCCACAGGTCTGAGAGCTGCAGGATCTGGGTGACACTGGTCAGCTTTGGTGGCCACAGGTTCTGGGCGTGCATGGTCGCGTGGCCACTGAAGCAGTGGTCAGCATAGTTCAGGCTGGCTTCAATCTTCTCCCTGTCCTCACCACTGATCAGGGGGTCTAGCAGGGGGGCTGGCACAGTTGACAGCACATAGTAGAGGGTCATGTTGACAGTCTCACTGGATGGGGTATGTGCATCTGTGATCTTTCTCATTTCAATCCCTGCAGAAAAAGAAAGCAACCAATAGTCAGAAATTAACTAGGAGAAAAAGAAGATCAAACATGTACACTGATGTTCAATATGCAGGTGTTCTTTGTAACATCTAAGAAACCTTTGTCCATAAAACAGCAAAGTGAAATGTTTCCTTGTGTTTGTCTAAGAAAATAGACTCTCTGCTATTTGGGAGTTTGAAAACCAAGCTCCCACTAAAGACAAAGCTAATTTAATATACAGATGCCTTACAGGCCTGTCATCATAACTCTGCACGAATCATCTGTCAAATGAACATAATCATTTTATAAAATAGCAAGTTCTACATTATTTGGTCAGCTACTCTTTTGTGTAAGACATTACAATCTTAAGAAAAAGCATCTTTGTAGAACAGCCCTTAACTTCCATGCAGAATCTTTTATGCTATCACTAAAGGTCAACTTTATTTCCAACTGACATGCAGGGCAACCAGTGAAGTTCCTGAAGCCACGAAAATCAGCACATACAGAAAAAGGATCAGAAATCTTCATCTATCACTTCCTACACGTAGTCAGGTGTACTCCACTTTGTAAGGCAAGCTGGGTTCCAAACAAGGAACACTGTTTTACTATTCCACAACCCATCAGGAAGACCAGAGCCTATGGAGACCTTATAGCAACCAGGACACCGAGCTTTCAGCCATCCTCTAAAGCAACTCCATGGAAGTTGAGCATGACTTTCCTTACCCGAAATGAACAAGTCAGACCAGGTCTGCTGGTGCTCCTGGAAAAGATCTTCCACCCCCATCTGCATCACCTCCAACATCTCTTTCTTGGCTGCCTCCCTCAGCTTGCTGAAGGTCTCCTCCAGCCTGGAGACCTCGATGGGCTCCGAGGTGTACACCACGGAGAGCACAGTCTCATCAAAGTGCGACTTGGGCGCGACCTGCACCCGGCTCACGAGCTTCTTGGCAGCCACCACCACCAGCACCATCTTGGGGCTGCCGGGCAGCGGCAGACGGCCGGAGGAGAGCAAGAACTGCCGCTCCTCCACCTTCTCCAGAGTGGTGGCGAAGCGCCCGCCCAGCGCAGACGCGGCGGGGGCCGAGGCCTCGAAGGCGGCCACCCTCTCGGTGGGGTTGGCGATGCGGATGCGCTGCAGGTAGAGATGCGGCCGGCTCCGGTGTGCCACCACCTCCTCCCGCACCGTCACACAGTCCCCGGCGCTGGCCCCGGGCCCCGTCTGGACGCACCGCACCCTCCGCACGGCCCCGTCCCGCAGCGCCGCCAGCGCCGCCCGCGCCTCGCCGCGCCCGCCCAGCGCCCTCAGCCGCACCAGCGCCGGGTACTCGGTGGCGAGCGCCGGGCCCCCGCCGGCCCCCGCGGGCCGCACCCAGAGCCGCCCGGCGGACACGTCCAGCAGCAGGAACCCGTTGCCCGCCACTGCCAGCCCCGGGGCCCCGCCGGCCCCGGCCGCTTCCTCAGGCAGAGGAAGCGCATCGCCGCGCTGGGTCTGCGCCCGCCAGGCGCCCGCGGCCGCCTGAACGCAGAGGGCGGCGGGTCCCCGGGGCTCGGCCCCGCGCCCCAGGCCCCGCACCCTCGCCGCGCCCAGGTACCAGTAGGCGACGAGCAACAGCACCAGCAGCAGCAGCAGGCGCCGCGCCCAGCTGCTGGAGAGCAGCCCCGGCAGCCCCTTCAGCCGCTGCTGCAGCCACATGGGCGGCGGCGGGGGAGCCCCGGCCCGGCCCTTCCCGGTCCCGGCCCCGCCGCGCCGCACCGGCCCTAAGCCGCCATCGCCGCCGCGCCCTGCGGCAGCTCCGCCGCGATTGGCGGCGCTTTACGGCACTTTGCGACAGCCGCGCTCTCCGCCCCTGAGGGGGGGCTTGGCCGGGAGGCGCGGCCCGGCCCGCTTGGAACCCCCGGAACCGCCGGGACCCCCTCGGCTTCCACCCTCCCGGCTTCCAACTCCCCCTTGCTCGGGGCCCCGCCGGCTCCGGGCCCCTCCCGTTACCGGGACCCCTCTCAGCTCCGAGCCTCCTCAGCTCCGGGACCCGCGTCTTCCAACCGCGCCCTCCCCCGGCACCGGGATCCCGAGCTTCCAGCCCCGCTGGCTCCGGGACCCCCCGGCTTCCAACGCCCGACCCCCGCCCCGCTCCCGCCGCTGTATCCGCGGGTGTCCTCGAGCAGCTCCAGCCCAGGGCTGAGGTTCTGTGTCCCCTGCCCGGGTCACTCCACCCATCGGAAAGGCCTGGAGGGGTTTCCCGTAATTCGCGTGGCAGTTTACTGGCTTATCCCAACAGAGATTATGCGGGAAAGGAAGTTCTTTCTATCAAACGGTATCCCACTGTGTCGTAAATAAAGGAACAAACTTTCTCACATGTCTTAGATGTGCATAGGAAAGCTTTGTATTCAGAGCAGTGCTCGAAAGACAGAACGAGAAACACACTTTCAAGCAAGTCAGGCAGAAACATTGTGAGTTAAAGTGAAATGTGAAATTCTCCATCAGGTTGAGACAATGAACCAGCTCAATGACGAGAAACAGAGGACACACGTTCTTAATTTATTCCGGCAAATGAGCTGTTTGATTGGGGGTGGGTGAGACCCCATTCCTTGCAGGTTTCAACAGGGCTGGTGGTTTCTCAGCATTGTGGTTTCTGTAAGAGCTGAGCTCTGACCCCTCCAGTTTTTAGGAAGTTGCTGCTCCGCCTGGAGCACGTGTTGCACGTACTCACTGGAACATCTGCATTGGCAGCTGGCTCTGTTTAGAAAGACAGGCAGCCGGCTGCAGCCAGTGCACAGAGCAGTGCAAACACACAGAGAGGGAAATGTGCGTGCTGGGTTGGCGTAGCTGCAGAATACAAAGCAGAAAACTGCACCCAGACAGCCTGGGTACAGCAGCATAAACAATGAGGCATTCATGATTTTGAGTGTGCAAAACCGCTTTCCTTTTAGACTGGAGAGATTTAACTTCATTAAAATGAGAAACTTGCCATTTTAAAAATCCATGTTGAGTTGCAACTCTCAGTCTGAAGGTGAAGGATTGAACATCTTTGCTGAGGTTCCTGCCTTAAACTGTTGAAGTTGCTACAGATTTATCACAGGCTTTGTCCAGGCCTGCAAAGTACTGAAGAAATCTAAAGTGAAAGTATGTTCTCTCTCTTTTTTTAATTTAGGGAAACTGGCAGCTTTGTAAAAGTAAGTTTTCTGAAATAACCATTTTAGTATTTCCTTGGGTTGTTGCCTGGAATGCTCATTGCTTGAGCATGAGGACTGTTCTATTTGCCTGTTAATTGTGACAGAATTCCTTCACTGGGAAGAAGGAATGGAAGGAAAAGTGTTTTGAACACACTCATGAATATTCTCAGTGAACAAACAGTAATGGGAATTCTTTGGGATGATGCTGTTGTGGATCATGGAGAATATCAGTTAGCTACATCGTGACCCTTCTAATGTGCTTGATTTTCTTCTTCTCCTGCCTTCTTGTGATTTTGGTTGTTTGGTTTTTTGTTTTTGTTTTGTTTTGTTGGGGTTTTTTTACCTGAACCCTGTTATATCTGTGATTTCTGTTAATTTAAAGAGGTGATTTACTGACAGGCTCACATAGGATCTGTGTCGGTGGTAGCTCCTCATCTGGTGTCCAACAGGCTGAAAAGAGTTTCCCTACATCTAAACCTTACATTTACCTCAGTGTAGAAGTGACCGAAAAGCAAATGTTAACTTTAAGAAGTGTAACTTTCTAAGAGAGGATTATTTTGCTTGCTCTCGAGGGCAGAATGAAATAGAAAAAGATGCCTGGATAAGTGATCAGGGCTACAGCAAGAAAACCCAGCACAAGGCCACCGATATTAATGTAAGACTTAGAGATGTGTATATGGCCAGAGAAAATCAGTTATTACAGGAAACAAAACCTCTGCAGATTTTGTGTTCACCAAGGAAATACAGGAGCTGACAGGTAGGAGGAAGGTATGAAGAAAGTATTCAATAAGGCTTCCAGTTTCTAGAGCTGTGCATAACATTATAATCCATTTCTGATTTGCTTTTTATACATAAATGTGGTTACTGCGCTGAAAGGAGAGAGAAAAGACAGCAACACACACGGACTTTTTGGGGGGTAAAAAAGGCCAACTTTATTGTATGGACAACCCGGATTTAAAGTGTGTTACGTGCAGCTAGGACAGGACAGCAGTTCATTGGACAATCGGGAAAAACATCCTTGGGACAGCACCTCAGGATGTGTCCCACGGCAAAGACACCAGGTGTTAATGTTGATGATGAATTCCACTCTGTTTGTCACCGTGTTCTCACCCTGGGAGACTCCTCCCTAACTGAAGCTGCAGTCAGCTTGTCAGCCTGGGAATGGAGCTGAGAGTCAGGAGAAATCCAGGCCTGAAAGGAATTTCCAAGCTGTAATTCCCCAGCTCTCTAAATGTGTGTGTCCACACATAAATATCCCGTGTCAGCCAGCTGCAGCCCAGCAGCAGCTGACGCTGGCCAGAGTGACTCCTCTCCTCCTACACCGGCGTTGGCTCAATGCCTGTTTGCCCCCCTGCACATCCAGTGCCCGGTGCCCAGCCCCGGGATCAAACCCCCAGCTCCTCATCCCGGTGTTCCCTGGCTGACCAGGCGCTCCCAGCTCGTCCTGCCCCTCTTGCGGGGGCCGGGGCTGCCCGGGAGGAGGAGCCAGCGCTCCCCGCTTCCTCCGCCGGGCGGGTCTGGTGCGTGGCACAGCTCCGGCAGCCCCGGAGCCGCCCGGTCCGTCCCGCAGGCACCGCTCCCGCTCAGTGGCAGCTCCCGGAGTTGGGGACGAGTCGCTCCCATGGTGCCGCCGGCGGTGCTGCTGCTCTGGGCGGTGCTGGCGCTGCTCGGGGCGGGAGGTGGCCGTGCCGCACAGCAGGAAGGTAAGGGGGGGTCTGCTCGGGGCACGGCGGGCACCGGCAGCACGGGCAGCCGGCGGGCAGGCTGATGGACGGGCACAGCCGCCCTGGGTGCCACTGCTGGCCTCCGGGTCCTGGTGTGGCTACCAAACATTGCCCGACCCGAGCCTGGGGCTGAGTGTGAGCCCCTGGGCGGCTCCTCGAGCCTCGGGCGGCTCACAGCTCCGAGTTTGGTGAGACGACATCCTTTCATCCCGGGGAAGGACTCTCGGTCCCGTGGGTTGCGTCCCACCTGGGTCAGCCCCTCCCTGCTTTTGAACTTAGGCGGTTCAAGGGGAGAGCCTTTGATCCCAGACTGGCCACACTGGCTCAAGATCAGGGATGCTCCTAAAATAGCATCAGTCTGTCTGTCCCCCTGTAAACTGTTGGTGGAAGCTCTAGAGTAGTTGGTAGAACAGCAGAGGATTAGGGCAGCTTCACAATGTCAGCAGCACTGACAAAGTGGTTCATACACTGTCACTCTGCCAAGAGGTTTGGATAATTATCCCTGTCTTCATTAGAGAAGTGGCAATTAGGAGGAGATTTAATCTTGTTATGTAGAATATTTCCCTTCACAGTGTGATTCTGGTATAATTACTTTTATTATATATGTACATTACTTAATACAGTTAGTGTGTGTCTAAGGGGCTGTTGGGAGTTCTTTGGCTATAGTGGCATAATGAAAACAAAGAATCTCTGTGCTATCCTGCCTTCCTTGCATATCCCAAATCTTTCATGGTTCCAATAAGGTTTTAGAGTGCACTAGAGATATAAAACTGAGGGCTGGAATAGAGAATGAGGTAAATTGGTTAGGAAGAAGGATTTGGAATTAGCTGTTGTCTGAACCCATCACTTTTGGCGTGGCTCAAAGAGAAAATGCCTCATCTTTCCTGTGCCTCAACTTCCCCAGAGCAATGTGAGAGTAAATGATACCTGTCCTCTCTCTTGGATGTTCTTTTAGATCTGTGCAAAAGCCCTCAGCATAGTTATTTGTAGTTGATAGAATTTTGAAAAAAATCTTCTGTAAATGTAATACAGAGATTATATTATCCACTGTTAAATTATGCACTATTTTTTTTCTATTTGATCTCCATATTAATGGTGTTTTCTTAGACACTGTCTTAACAGGAAGTGGCACAGTAAGATTACCCAAATCACAGCCTAGGGATAAATTCATTCCTTGTCCTAAAATGCAGCTGTACTTTCCCTGTAGACTTAGGGCAGAAGTAAATAAATTTATTTTTTTTGTTACTGAACTCATCTAGTCTCTGAATTTTATTCTTTATAAAAACTCAGAAATTTACTGAATCATTTTCTTGCAATCTTGATATCAGGATTCCTGTTCTAGTGCTTTGTTCTTACAGAATCCTTTTCATCTATAGAGCTCTAAAACCTTCACAAAAGTGATAAATGTCCTCTTTTATCATTCTACAGATGGAAAAACAGGGATAGCAGGATTGGCTCCTTGTTGCATAGCAGAACCAGCAATACAGTTCAGCTTCTCTGGTCCTGAGTCCAATGCTTGATTTGTTAACCACCCTGTGTTTTTATTTTTCAGCCATGCCATTATTAAATATATTTATACAATTCCTAATTGTCAGAGTGGCCCAGGGAGCCTTTGGGCCCAGGAGGCCCAGCTGAGCAGAACAGGGTGCATTTCTACATATGGAAATTGACTGTGATATGGGAAACAGGGAAGCATCAAACTCTTCAGGATGTTTTGAAAAGCTTGCATGTGATACTGAAAGTAAGAGGTTTTACTGCTCTGTCCTTGAAAGTACCTATCAGCTGCATCAGTGTTCAA